GCGGATTATGAATTGCCGTTTTTATCAAAAAGAAATATTATAAAATCAATACAAAAATATTAATCTAAAGGTATCCCATCGGTATCTATGACATCCGCCAACGTCCACGCAAAGAATGAATGCCCTTGTTGAAGAACCGACCGGCTGTGGCTCAAAGAAATGCACCCAAATTTGGACTTCATCGCGGTTTTTGAATTTTTTTTCGGCCAAGGAATGCTGCATCGACCGGAACAAATGGTAATCAGATGGCGCAAGGTCTGGGCTATATGGCGGGTGAGGCAGAAGTTCCCAGCCCAATTCTTCAATTTTTTCAGAGTTACTTTTGCGGTGTGTGGACGCGCGTTGTCATGGAGCAATTTTGTTGACGCTGTTTCCACTCCCTGTCGACGAAGCGATGATCGACGCGGCTTATTGTTCTTTGTAGAGGTCCGCATTAACCGTTTGACCAGAATTTAGTACTTCAAAATGCACCAATCCTTTGCTATTCCACCAAACACATAGCGTCATCGGATGGATGTCTGGTTTGGAGTCGGTTTGGGGTTTGTCAGGGCCAACCATTGTCGTTTTCTAGTGGTATTATCAAAGGATATCCACTTTTCATCAGACGTGACAACGACCAAAACCACTGTTCTTGGCTTGACGCAAAGTTCCGGCCAAATTGATTCGCGTTGTTTTGTTCAAATCGCTTAGTTCATGAGGCACCCATTTACCGCATTTATTCACCTTACCAATGGCATGCAAGTGGTCAGCAATGGTGGAATGATGACAACCGAACCTCTCAGCAAGTTCTCGTGTCGCTTGGGCAGGATCAGAACGTTGGCTGCTTAAGTTCCCATCGTCCACAGTTTTGGTCGCCCTCATGTTCTTTGTCTTCAAGGCTCTCGCCGTCCCAAAGCGCTGAAACCAATTGCGACATTGACGTTCGTTGATAACATCTTCTCCGAATGCATTGCTTATAGAGCGATGGGATTCTGCCGCTTTTCTGTTTGAAGTCGTAGAACAAACAAATCCGCATTTTAATTTTGATGTCGTTCATTTCCTGAGACAAATTTATATTAAAAATCTAAGCAAATATAGACGAATAATATATCAATCGGCGCGGCAAAAACGCTCTTTAATATAGTTAAAAAGTACCACAAAAATTTATTTGAAAAAAAATACAAAGCAAAAGCCGGCATTCATAATCCGACAACCTAATAGAATAACTCGATCAACGATTTGTGCAAATCTTTTTGAAAAATTTAAGGACCTAAACGTGACACTTCTGAAAAAGATGATCATCTGTTTTCACGTCAACTAGATCATTTATAATACTGATTACCGTATTTTCTCTAATAGTACCCTGAGAGTCGCCTAAATTCCTCGAAATCTCGAGAACCGCTTATCAGAACCTATCGATGTGGGGTCGGAAAATGTAGCTGACGATGAGATCTAGTGGGGGATTTGAGTGTTGAGCTTCTGTGAAAACTTTGAAACCGTCAAATAGTCACTAACTCGGCTCGCTGGGATACTACGCTGGGATACTACGCTGGGATACTACGCTGGGATACTGCAAAACCATACACCACCCCCTAAATTTCAATTTTCTGTGGCTCCCGTGCCAGTGACAAAAAAAACTGAAAACGTAGTTAGATACAGGGCCAAAAATAGCCAAAAAAATCAAAGATGCCATTACCCGCGAGTGGAATGCCATTCCAAGAAGCACCATCAAGAAGCTAGTTGACAGAATGCCGAGTCGAATATTTGACGTGATCAGTCGCCAGGGACAGACATCAAAATATTGTTATTGTACTGTTAAACTGTTATTGTTATAAATAAACTTTGTTATCATAAAAATTGAACAAAAATGCAACAACGACACCAAAATTTGGGGGGTGACGTATGGTTTTGCACCGGGTTAATTTTCGTTTTTTGGCTCTTACATTTTCCCTATTCATGCTGTGTCGATGATTTTTGGGGTTTAAGGGTTATTTTTGGTCCTGAATCTGACTATGTTTTCAGTTTTTTTGTCACTGGCACAGGAGCCGCAGAAAATTGAAATTTAGGGGGTGGCGTATGGCTTTGCACCGCACTGTATTAGAGAAAATACGATATATCTGAATTAAATACAAGAATAAAAATCTTATCAATTAGTACAGTATTTGTACATAAATACGAGGACAGGGGTAACAGGCATAAGATGAAATTGGCAAAACAAGACACAAAATATTCAAGAGAGAAAATTCAAGACGCAGTTAAGCGTAAATAATGTTTTTTAGATAAAAATAGACTCAAAAATGGTGTTTAAAATGATTTTAATGATTTTCAAAGACATCCACTCCTTTTTTATTAAGCAGAAATCCTTTTTCTCTCTGTTTTTCCCAGCATTTCTCTTTTCCCAAAAAAAGAGAATGACTCACTACCGTAATCCTTCAAAAATTTTCGAAAAATCAAAGAGAAAATCCATGTGATTGCACAACATTCTAAGAATAAAGACCCATTGCTCAATGTTGTGCAATCGACGAGGAGAATCACATATAATGGTGTGGAAAGCTCATCGAGTATTGCAAAACAGCCGTTTACTTTTTGGTTACTTTTAAATTACTCAGTTTTTGCGCTTGTTTGAAACCACGTTTTTCTTTTCTTAGATTAATTTTTAAATCTTTTAAATCAATTTCACTTTAGAGGATTTCCTTTAGAGTAAGTTTACTGTTAGATTTGCCCAATCTAATCAAGTTCACTTTAGAGGATTTCCTTTAGAGTAAGTTTACTGTTAGATTTACCCAAAGCTACTCAATTTTATCATGCATCACTTCTCGAATTGCCTTATTGAACTACAATAAATCAAATGTATCAGATTATATCTGACTTTAAACTCTCAGCTTTGACTCTGAAGCTCGTTAACAGTTCTAACTTTTGTCTATAGCTTTTGCCTCTCTCTCTCTTTTGTTTGTTACTGTAAGCTTGCAAGATTTGCTCAATTATATAAACTCTATCAAACATTAGTCCATCAAAAGTATCAAGATCAAGCTATCAAGACTCTTTCCAGATCACCAATCATGCAGTTGTTCGTGAAAACCCACGACGGAACTCAGAGTCTTTTCTTTGAGTCAACTCAGATGCAAATCGGAGAGTTGAAAGAGGAAATTGCCTCAAGACTCTCCATTCAAAGCCAATATTTTTATCTCACTCATCAAGGTTGGTGTTGGAGTTTGATTTAGGAAAATATTTGTTGAACAATACATGAATTTCAAGCATTGGAACCATATTGGAACCGTATCTGAACCATATTGGAACCATTTAGGCATGAAACTAGAGTTAGAATTAAGTTTATCATGTTGATCAATAACGTAAACAATTTCAGGTCGTTGTTTGAATGAGTTGAGCACGGCCGAAGAGTCCGGGCTTCACAATGGATCATCCATTCATTTGATCCCTCGTTTGCCTGGAGGAGGAAATCGAGGTTTGAAATGAAAATTGAATATTTCAACGTTGAAACACTCCTATCTTTCCAATCTTTCCAAGATTTGAATAATTTGAATTGTTGAAGTGAAATATTTGACTCTCAAAGCATTAGCTCACCATTTTAACCTATTTCTTTTTAGAATGGATGAGCATGAAGGACAAGGAACTCGCTTTCAAGCATAACGTCGACAAAATGGTTGGTTTAGCAAGTGAATAGATAGCCTTGACTTGAAATTATACTTTAAAAACCGTCTTTGTACATACGTCTTTGTACGTACGTCTTTGTACATACGTCTTTGTACATACGTCTTTGTACGTGCGTCTTTGTACGTACGTCTTTGTACGTATGTCTTTGTACGTATGTCTTTGTACATACGCCTTTGTACATACGACTTTGTACATACGTCTTTGTACATACGACTTTGTACATACGTCTTTGTACGTACGTCTTTGTAAGTACGTCTTTGTACGTATGTCTTTGTAAGTACGTCAAGTTTTGGCATAAATACTCATTGATTTCCCAGGTCTGTCGCCGTTGCTATGCTCGTCTTCCCCCAAAAGCCACTCAATGTCGAAAGAAAGATTGTCGATCGACTGATATACGAAAGAAGAGCAATAATCCGAATAAGTAGATGAACAATGGTCTCGTAGTGTACATGAAATTCATTTAAACTCAAGATTGATCTAGCTTCTCTTTTCTACTCGAAACTTTCACTTGCACTACGGTTCATTCATTCTCTTCTCTAACTCTAACGGGTTGCTCTTCTCTTTGTGCATATTATGAACATGAATGTTGAATAAATTATCGTTTTTTTCAAATTGGAAACAACTTTAAAATGTTCAAATGGAAAAATGGATAGTTTAACTGTGAGAAAACGCCTGGAAGATCCCTCTCGCTTGAAGAGGAATTGAACCCTCAACCTTCCACCCTAAATCTAGACAGACAGCTCTATTACTCTCTACCTCTTTTTTCCTTTTCCCTCATTAGTCTCGTAAAGCCTTTTTTTGCTCTTCTCTTTGTTCATTTTAGAAAAAATGTTCATTTCACACCTTAGCCTTTTCAAAAGAATTTGGCGATGAAAGGGGATTGGAGGGGAATTGAACCCTCAGCCTTCCACCCTCAATCTAGACAGACGCTCCACCACTGAGCCACGGCAATTGCTTCTGGTAGCGAGAAAGAAGGTGGAAGAAGAGGGGAAGAGAAAGAGCATTGCTCACCCAGCTATTGACTGTGGAAAGTTGTTAAAATTCAAACAAAAGCGTTCAAATCTTTTCCAAGAACGCTTTCCTTTCCCCATTGCAATGGGGAAAGGAAAGCGTTCCTGGAATGCAATGCATTGCACAACAATGAGTCACCGCTCTTTTTCATTTTTCTTCAATAGAGGGAAAAGGGTTTCTTTTCTCAAAAAAAAAGACTGAACACTCAAAATTGAAAAGGAAAACATCGAAATGCCAAAGAAGATTATTGTTTTAAATTCAGAAAAAGCTTTATTCTTTTAAAATCTAAAAACGAAGAATGAGGAGATGGATAAGTCGATGAATAAGTAGATGAATCAGCATGTTCCAGTGGCTAAAGTTGATTTGTTTACATTTGTTTACATTTATTTGTTGAATTTTTATTGAATTACTTGGGATATCGATTCCAGGCGTGTATCCATAAGCGGTGAATGCGGCATGTCCATAAACCGTTGCCGCGTATTTCACGTTTGGATCAGTCGACTGAATGACGTGAGTGCCGGGTTGAACGGGGAAATCGGCCACGTAATAGGTTGATTTGCCTTGTCTAAAGCTACTAATTAGCTGGATTACTGTACTGAACTGGGTTCCCTAATCATTGATTTCTCGGGTACACTTTTGCGCTTAAACATACGCTTAAACATACCCGCTTAAACATACCCGCTTAAACATACCCACTTAAACATACCCAGCTATTGCCCTAGCTACAGTAATATTTGTCACAAACAGTGCACTAGAAAGGGTTTGTTTTGCAGAGAACAAAGTACACTTTATCATTTGATTTGAATGCCATCTTGTCACCAACCTTTGGTAGAAAAGTGGGCTCACCACCCAATTGTCAACAGTCAACTTTCCAGTTGAAGGGAGATCGGTTTGTAAACGAATATAGTGAGAAGCTGGGGATCTACCTGTTAAACCAGTTGTCACCTGAAATCTTTATTCATCGACTTTTTGCCTTCATTACCTGGATGTAGGTTTGATTTGTGAATTGTGAAACGGAGGGAATGTGAACGAGGAAAGGAGAGCCTTGACCATCAGTTCGAATAGATGACACCTGAATTTAAATTTTCCCATTTCCAAAAAGCAAATGGCTTACATTGAATTTGGTTTAGTCTTGGATTGACCTGGGATCTGGGTTTTATTCCTTACTGGCCATTCCTTTCCCTAGTCCTTTCCCTAGTCCTTTCCTTAGTCCTTTCCCTAGTCCTTTCCCTAGTAAGGACTAGAGAAAGGCATTAAGTCATAATGACCTTTTTGATGAGCTTTTGATAGAGCTTGAATGAGAATTTCGAATCCGATTTTAGTTTTTCTAATGGAGCTCTGTATCGGAATATATCTGGCATCAAAGTTTACTCGAAATCTGAAATCTGACAGTATTTTAGAGTAGAGGTAAGTCGATAGCCTTTCTCAGCCAGAAGAACCCTTCTTAGGTCTCCGGGCTCAAACTTTTTTTGCTTTTTTTAGGAAAATTGATTGAAATTAAGAAAGAACGACAAAATTTAAAGGTACGAAATGGAAATTTACTAAGCACAAACTAAACACATCAGATTTTGATGCCAGGTATCTTATTGGGTTGGTGGAAAAGTCCTTTCGGATTTATCAATACAATACAGAGCTCCATTGGATTCGCTGAGCTGATTCGGAAAGCTCAATCGAAAAGCTCATTCGGAAAGCTCATTCGAAAAGCTCATTCGGAATCCCCATTGTAAACTCTCTCAAATATGCATCAAAAAGGCCAAATAACCTGTCGCCTTTCCCTAGTTAGTCAACCAAAGCAAAGCTAAACATTGTCTTTCGGATCTGATCTTACCAGACCAACTCAACAGCATCAAGCCAAGAGCGTTGATTTTGGTCTAACAACATTCCTGCATCTGTCTAGTAAATGCAATGAACTGTAATAAATGAATTTACCGCCACAGCATACGAAGGATTGCTCGTTGTGATCATGGCCGAACCAAGAATCGAGAAAATGTAATAGCTAAACGTCCTTTGCAAAATGATTCTCGAATATAACTGACGCTTGAGCTCCAGCAAGCGTGCCTTGAGCAACTCCATTGACATAAACCGTTGTGTTTTGTGACTGAAAGAATTGATATGTAAATTTTCAGCTAAAGTGATTGGTTTTCTTCTAGCTTCATTTCTCTCACCTGTGAAAAAAGCATGACCTCACCGCGATCCTCGGAAATAAATTGAGTGTATGGGAAGAGTAGACCCGAGTCTTGAATTGGGAACAGCATAATTGCCTGTAAATTTTGTCATTTATCGTTTAATAAGCTAAAAAGTTTACCTCGTAGTTGCAAATCAGTGGATTCCAATAGCCAAAACCACAAACAGCGCCCGAGATCACGGCTGAAAAGAGATTTGAAAGTAAGAAGTAAAGAGATTAGTGATACAACTATTTGAATTGAATCTAGCTGCAATACTTTTAAGCACAGCCTTAAGCACAGCCTTAAGCACAGCCTTAAGCACAGCCTTAAGCACAGCCTTAAGCACAGCCTTAAGCACAGCCTTAAGCACAGCCTTCAGCACAGCCTTCAGCACAGCCTTTGACCTTTAACCTCCACTCACCGACAGGGAAATTAGTGGTAATCTGATAGTTTGTTAACGGGATAACATTGACAGCAATAGTCAGCACTTGACCGGCGTTGATGGTGACTGTTGCGGGATTTGTGAGTGGAGGGAAGGTGGTCACCTAGAAGAGAAACAAATCTTCATTTTCAATCAATCAATCAATCACTTGTGTCCCATCTTGTGTAGCGACCACTGACCAGATATTCGTCGATCTCATGTTATTTCTCGCTGCATCATCACCAACTGAACGATAACTGGTGCCAAGAGAGCACACCTGAAGTCAATGATTAGCTCGATGATTAGTTAAAGCTCTTTCCCAATACCCTAAAAAAATTGGGTACCTTAAGAAAAGCGGGTACTTTATACAGCGTAATGCTTTGCTAAAGCAATGTTTTCTGTTAATATTAAAGTACCCGATAAATGTGGGAAACAGTAAAAGATCGTCTCCCGACATATCTTTTTGAATACATGTTCTTTATACAGCGCGAAAGAAGAGCCCGAAAAAAGAATTGAATTCTAAATTGGCGCTGGTAAACCTTTGGAATGAACCCATTAAGAAGCGCAAAGGATCTTACACCGAACTAATGTCATAACTTCTATCGCAACTAAATTTACGGCAATCCTTTGCAAGAGACAGAAACTTTAGCCATCAGCTACAAGAAGCTTTTCTTTTCGAGAGGCCACTATTGGGGTAAATTGCAAATCCAGTCTGCAGACTAGAGAGATTTCCAGCTCACCGGATAGACTGTATACATATCCTCAGAGACACCATCTGAGTGCGCATTTCGAACGACGACAGTCACCTGAAAATGTTTTCTATCGACTGGCACTATCCGCGTTTAGTTACGGAAAACGAAATTGTGTTTATCAAAGTTTTCGTTGAATTGAATGTAGATTAATCTAGTAAATCTAGTAATCTGATAAAGTACTATGTAAGACAGAAATGGGCACAACTCCAGCTCAACACAACTCCAGCTCAACATAACTCCAGCTCAACACAACTCCAGCTCAACACAACTCCAGCTCAACACAACTCCAGCTCAACACAACTCCAGCTCAACACAACTCCAGCTCAACTTCAACTCACCGTTGTGTCAGCAACAACCGTGATACTCCGATTCGTAGTTTGAAAGTAACCAACGTGTTGATCTCGATAGTTTGTCTGGATCTCTGGTGGAAGATTGAACTGAAAACTCTTCCTTTTGTAGGCGTAGTCTCACCAAAAACCTTTCTTGGTGTTTCATTGAACTAATTAGGGCAGTGATTTGAATTTTCTGGCACTGATAAGAAGAGTGGAAAGAAGAAAAGAATATTTGAGGAACTGGAAAGATTTACGAGAGAATTTTGGAGTGGAGGAACGGTGAAAGTGGCAGTGGAGAAGAGGGCGGATGGGGTGCTCACGGTGACAGTGGCTGGCTTTCTAGAAATGGGAAAATGCACTGAAAAGTCAAAAGTCGAGGCTATCCAAGGCAAGTCAAAGTCTGGCTTTGACTTTGGCTTTGGCTTTGTTTTTATTCTTTAAAAAACTCACGTCGAATCGTAATTTGTAATAATCAGTGTGATGTTCTCCGTGTACGTGTTGTCCCCATCACTGAATATTTGTTTATCAGTCGAAAAACCCGCCTGATGGCAGGATTTTCTGGCTGGATTGGGATAAATAGCTTTTTCCGGCCGGCCAGCACTGGTGGTTGTGACGCAGTCGGGAGCACACATTCCTATGGCCCTTATGAGTCGGGTTCGACCCGCCGTAGTCCCACTGAGCTCCCAATTTTTCATTTTTTTTGAAATTGAACAACTATTCTTATATTCTAAAACTTTTAAAGAAATTTTCGCCTACAGACTACGCCTACAGACTAGGCCAACAGTCTACGCCTACAGACTACGCCAACAGACTACGCCTGTAGACTACGCCTACAGACTACGCCTACAGACTAGGCCAACAGACTACGCCTACAGACTACGCCTACAGACAAACTCACTCCGCAAACAGACAGACTGACTCTTTTATATAGTGGATCTACGATAACTCTTCCCTTTCAAACAAACTTCAAGGACAAACTTACTTCAAATGAGAATTCGTGACAGCAAAGATGAACTTTGTGCCTGTTGTGAAAGCCCTTACAGCTGGATGAACTTTTGCTGGCTCTTGGAGATCGGTGATGCGAGCTATAGTGGAGAATTTGTTTCAAAAACAATGAACTATTTAAAAAGGTTTTATTTTAATCTAAACTTTCAGCTCTAAGCGCTTTTGCATGATTTTTATGTTCTTGACTCAAACGAACCTTTATGCAAAACTTGAACATTCGCATACAAAAGGGAAATCAAAGCAACAAAGTAAACGAGTTGCCGCATACCCTAAAATCGAAAAAAAAAACAAATAAGATTCTGAAGTTTGTAAAATAAATTCGGAAAATTGAAGTCGAAAGTACAGATTGGAAGGGAAATCTCAGCAAAAATAATCTCTCGGAATTCCCCAAGTCGGAATTCTCGAGTCAAATTGATAATTCGGCGTTGGCGTGGCCGCTTATCGACTTTATCCCTTTTAAGGGTTGCGTGGATTGCGTAGAAATCAATTTAGGGCTTATTTTAGACTTCAAAAGGAGTAATTTGCAAAATTAGTTCAAAAAGTCGATAAGCGTGAATGACATTCAAAAAGTCATTCAAGTCATTCAAGCTATTCTGTGTTAGGACTAGTTATTGAATTTTTTGAAAGAAACTAGAGTGAAGAAGAGATTTAGATTGTCGTTTTGATACTCCAAATCGTTTTGCATAAGCCAAATAAAGGTTCTAAGCAATTCAAAAAGCTAAAATACAAGTAAAAATCGTGAATTAATTCAATTCGAGTTTCTCGACGCCTATTTTTTTCATTTTCATTTATTTTCATTCTGTGATTTGGCTCGTAAAAGGTGTGGAAAGATAAAGATTGCAGCTACGCCCTCTAAAAATTGAAAAGGAATTAAAAAATTGAAAAGGAAAGGAGAATTGAAAGCTTTCTTTCATCAGCTTATAGATTTTTGAAAGTTCAGCGAGATTTGGGATGTGATGAATGTGAAAAGAATGACTGTTTGTTTTCTTTTGTCAAATCAAAAACATTTATCAACTCCATTGTTTCTTGTAAGTCTCAAAATAAAGCTCTTTTTCCTCTTGTTTCGTCATTCTCAATTCTTCCATTGCCAAATGTTTCGCTTCTGCGTGAATCTTCGCGAGTTTGTGTGAGACTTTAACGAAATTCGGGAAATTCATCGCCAACCTCGTGCGCAACGATTTGTGATAGAACAAAAGTAATAGCATTGAGATCAGAGTCTAAAATTTGGCCTTTAAAATCTTTAGTTTACTTGACCCTTTATTTGTTTTTTGACTAGACTTTTGTCTAGACCGTTCTAGTGTCTAGATTTTGTGTTTTTCTAAGGGTCTAGATCTTGGTCTAGATCTAAGCATCTAGATTTTGATGAACTTGGCTTAAGTCTTGTCTTTGACGTCATAGATTTCTCATTAAAAAGCTCAGAATATCTCAGAATCAGATTCCCTCAATCAGATCAGATTTTCGTTTTCAAAAATCGAATTTAGAAAAGAAAAATGCGGTCACCGGAATTGAACCCTCAACCTTCCGAGTCTCCGGGCCTACACTCTACCACTGAGCCACAGGTACTTGTTGGCCCAGGCGAGAAAAAAGGGTCAAAGACTTTAAGACCATCTAGAATCACTTATTTCCTTCACCTGACTTGCATTCAACGCATAATATATGGCAATTGTCAACTTTCCATAAACGAGAAACCAATCCGGGAAATTTCTTCGCGTAATCGTCCAAACGCTGATGTAACAAAGGAGAAGTGAAAGTGAAGAGATGCCGATGAATGGAAGAAAGAGTTGAAGAGCTTGAGCTGTTCTGGAAATGAAAAAGTTTTGCAATCATTGCAAAACAACTTCAAATCATTGTAAATGTTCTTCTTGACCTTAAGAATTTGATTACTAGATTTGAATACGATTTTTTATTTACCTAACATTCTCCTCAACTTGAATCCTCCCCGACAGCGTTGTTTTCCCAGTGAATCTCTTCTGAAATGTCGTTTTCTGTTGTCGTCGCGCGATGTAAGGAAGCAACAAGGAAACCTGGAAGATTTCATTTAGGTAACTAATCTAAAGCCTTTAAACTGACCACACTTGAATAAATCACAAATGAACCGAGAATGCTGTAGATGTGAAAGTAATTCAAGTACTGATTCCAGCTCAAGATAGCGATGTAAGCCGTGAAAATTATCTAAAATTTTTTCAAGCATTTGCTAGCTCAAATTTTAGTCTAGGAAAGTAGTCCTTTAAGCATTGCTGCTTTACTGATTACTGTAGTTGTACAAATAGCAACACAAACCATTAAGAAAGCGCTAGCAGCCGGCACGGTCAAACTGATCGCATTCTCCTCATATTTCATCCCAAAACAGGCGGCTATTAGACGCTCCGATGCAAGGATTACCGATACTCCATAGAAAATTGAGCTAGCTGAAATGATAAGTCGACATTTTTCTTATTTCCTTACACAAATCAACAGGTCAACAGGTTGATAGGCTCTTATTTCCTTACACAAATCAGCAGCTCGTTGAAAAGATTTCCTCATACTGCCCATTTCCATCAATGCAAAGAAATTTGCTGCCAATCGAGCCAAGAAAAAGAGCATGTGACAAGCGGGAAGAAGGATCAGAAGAAAACGGAGATTACGGTGAAGGGTCTAGATTTTGGTGAGCTTGGCTTGAATCTTGTCTTTGACATCATAAATTTCTTTAAACAAATCTATTTTATTAGGTTGGTGAATTGAAAACTGCGGGACTTTGAACTAAAATTTATTCAACATAAAACCATCAATTCATTCGAAATAATCTCCCTTATTATTGACGACTTCTGCCCATTTTACAGGCAATTTGCGAATTCCTCTTTCGTAGTAGAATTTTGATTTGTGTGTGAGACAAGTGTGAGACTCAAAAATGGAGGACTGGAGATGTCAGCTGTCAGCCCAGTTTGAGCACTTTCTTCAAAAGAAACCCACTTTGGTGTCAATAGAAAAGTTGTAGAGAATCAAAAATTAGGCTTATAGCCAAATTTCCAAAAAGATACACTTAGTAGTTTCGCTTAAAATGCAAGTTTTGTGAAAATTAGTAAATTTGGCATTTCTTGAATACCAGTTTTTGAATCGTTCTGAAAATTTGGATATAAGCTTGATTTTTGATTCTCTACAACTTTTCCATTCACACCAAAATGGGTTTCTTTTAAAGAAAGTGCTTAAACTGTCACATATCACAATATCCGGCCGTTTTCAATTCACCAATCCAATATTTTAACCAAAGTTTGACCAAGTTAACTGTCAACGAACAAATAATAAGAGAAAAATGAATAAAAATCAACCAAATCAGTATAGTAAATCTTTAAACAACAGAAAGAGACAATTCACCAACTCAATAGATTCATTAAATGAAGCTTCTCTTTATGGTTAACTTACCGCTTTCTTCGCCACCACCAGAACATAGATGGTAAACACGTAGAAGTTGGAAGCGATTTCGATAGTCTGATTAAATTCGGAAAGATATAAAAAGATTGAAGTGTTTTGCTGGACAAAGTAGACTTGTTATTAGCTAGCAATACAATGTGCTGAACACTTGTCAATAAAGTTTCATCAGTTGTTTGTCGCACTGCGCATCAGTTAGCAAATCTACCCAATCCAATCCAAATCCAGAGTCATTTTTCTATTCATTTCCAGCTTTAGGATCTCAAAACTCACCTCGATCCCCATCGCAAGATAGTAGAATATTTGAATAGTTTCACCTGGGGAATCATCTGCATCCGGTACAATCGACATTTCCCTAAGTTTCAACTCGAATCTTGTAAAAGATAATGTGATTCGAAATCTGTAAGCTGTAAGTAAGCTGTAAGCTGTAATCTGTAAGCCTCACCAGATTACAGCTTACAGATTACAATCTATAAGCTGTAATCTGTAAAAGATCTCCGACAAAAATTGCTCAATCGGTGAGAGACGGCTTTTTGTAAACGTTGTCTCAACAAAAAAAAGACAACACGCGAACTTCCGCGAAAAAAACTTGGGAATTATTAGGTAAATCAAAAAAATTGAAAACTTTTTGAAAGAACGTGACGCTTGAATCTTGATTACTGAAGATTTGTAGTATACATTTTTTGAGGAAAAGAAAGAAAAGGAAAGGCAAACAGAAAATTATCGGGCTCTTCAAAGAAATTGTGTATTGCTCTCGAAAAACGCTCCGTTTTGTATCTTTTTAGCTACATGGAGCTTTTAGAGCTTTTGTAACTGATATAAAGATCGTCTAAAAGATTTATAGGATAGTATGGAGACAGGTTGACACGTTTAGAAAATGATTTACTTTGCTGAGGACTCGATAAGGTAGCGCATGCTTGGAGGTAGCGTATGCTTGAAGGTAGCGTATGCTTGAAGGTAGCGTATGCTTGAAGGTAGCGTATGCTCTTTCTCTCTTCTTCTGCCTTTTTTGTCTCGAAGGCCTGAAGCAACTACGGCTCAGTGGTAGAGTATCTGCCTGGGAGCCTGGAGATCGAGAGTTCGATTCCCCTCGACTCTTTGCCAAATTGTTTTGAGAAAGAGGAGAAGGGAACGGAAGCAAAGAAAATCTCTTCAATGATAAAATCTTTGATACAGTTGAACTATTCATTGCTTCTAGCTTTATTTTGTTTAATTTGCTTTGCTTTATTTTATCGTTCTATTTAGAGTTTATTTATAAACTAAATGATAAATCTTATGCAAGATAAAGTCAATTTTGAACTGGGCATCAAGTTATTGAGATACATTGAAAACATTTGAGATTAAGTGAACCCGATATTGGAAATATTTTGAACAACCATAGATCAGATGGATAACCGTTTTGTCAACCGATAAATGATGGAATCTCGTATTTGGGAATGTAAAGCTTTCTAGAAATATCAAAGTTGAAAGGATAAAAAAAAGAAGTGAAATTGATGATACGATTTGACTTGAAAAGTCAACGTCGCTTTGAATCAGAAAAAACAAATTGAAGAATGGTTTTGAAGATATTCAGTTATCAAGGAATCGAATGGGTGTCTGAATGGAGCGTCGTGGACGATCGATCGGCGATGGACAAGGAGTTGTTGAATTACTGAAATTTGTCTCAATAAGAACTGCATGATCAAGTTTTGGATTTTTTTTGGCATTAAATGCACGGCTTTTAGTAATTTACTCACTTCATCGCTACTCAAGTCTGTTCGAAAGTCAGAAAAGTCAATACCTGTTCAGTTTACCCTTTGCTTGTTTCTTTACCCGCCTCAATTCTTTGATATCGATTTCCATTGCCGCATCAAGTGGATGATTCTCATCGTTTTCTGATGATGTTGATAAAGTTGGAGAGTTAAACTCTTTAGATGGAGAAAGCTCATCTTGAGTGGTAGATTTCTCTTGAGGTGGAGTGATTGATGGGCTCAAAATTGGAGGATTCAACTGAAAATTGGCTTTTGTTTTGGGAAGTCGTTTGTTTCTTTTGAAACCTCTTGATTTTCTCCAGCAGCTTCTTCAGCAAGCTCAACTTGGGGCACATCATCGACTTCGAAAGTCACTTGCTAAACTTTTACGTGATACTGGCTTTAAGCTAACAACTGAATGACCTAACTAGATATCTAATTGAATACCTATTTTGCTTTCTTTCTATAACAAACCTTCGCAAAATAATCGAGAAGCTCGTGTTCAAAATGTCTCTTCAAATGCCCATAGTTTACTTGCCATAACCGATTGTCACTGAAATTTCGAGCAATTCAACACTTTACACTTTCAACTTACCATTTCCTTATCAACCACATTGAATCCTCAGCGAACAAATCTAAAAAAGACTTTCAAATTTGGTCTATGCATATTAACACCTGTGCTTTCCTCCACTGGTCCGAGCACTTCCACATTTGCTTCTTTCTAATAGAATTTGTTAGATAGTTTAATTAGCCATGTTCAAACTTACAATCATTGCTTTCTGTTTTTTGTCAAGCAACGATACCTCGTACCAAGTTGGTCTGAAACGTAAATTTTTCTTATATTGTCAATTCAATTGAGTAGTGTAGAAAAGAGTTTCTTGTCTCAACCTCCAAGCCACTTTGAGCATCTCAACTCTTTCCGTATACGAGTTTCGCCATCGTCCGTTCACCACTTTCTTCCGGTAAATGCGACGGGTCTCATCGCCCAACGCGACAACGCTGACCACCTGGAAATTTTGTCGCTGCTCTCATGTGTTATCTATACTGTTTAGCTTCCCAGTTCTTGTAGTTTTCCAAACAAAAGCTCATTATTAATAAATCCACAGCTTTGTATCTTTATAATGTTTACCTCATATTCGGAAGCATAGTTGAGTTGTTGCCTCTGACGATTATTGGTCATGTGCTAAATTTTAGGAGTATTAAGTTGTCAAAAATAAATGCAAAAGCAGATAGATCCCTTTTCGGATCAAGAATAACTGCTATTTCAATTAACTGGCTCATATTCGAATCTGTTACAATAATTGCTTTAGCATAGACAGTATCAATCATTTGAAGAGTTAAAAATTCTCTCTGAAAAAACTTTTATTTGAGATCAAATAACCGATCGGAGGAGAATACGAACAACGATTTGACAAAATAAAATAAAATGATCAGATACAGTTATGATTTAGACAATCATGTTTGCTAATAGCCAAAATTCACAAAGGATACTCGTTGCGAAAAAGTGATTCCAGTTTTTAATTAAAAAGGTAAATATTTTCAATGGGATACAAGGAACAAAGAATACATTTAATACCATAAAAAATAGAACTTGTGCACTTGTTAAGCCGATTTGGCTGCCGCTTCCCGTCCATTGCTTTCATTTCGACGATCATCACCCTCATTCTCTCCATCGTAGAACTCGCCTGAAAAATGAGCTTGTAGATTTTACAATAAAACAAGAGGTGTTACTCTTATAAAAATCACGCGTTGCTTGTATTATTGCAAAGTACTGAAAGCTTATTGATTAAAAGTTCAAACCTTCATGCTGCACATGAGAATCCATAATCGAGCGATGTAGTCGCACATCTGGATTCGCCATATCCTGAACAATAGATAAAAAACTCGTAATTGAAAAAGCTACACACCTGCCCCAAGGATGTATCGTTAAGAAATCGTATGGCATCGTCTGGAATCGGCTGCATTTGCACTGAAGGAGCGGCTTCCATTCGATCAAGATTATTCAGCACTTGCTCCTAAAGAACGGTATATTTGATTCTACTTACAAAAAGCTACCTGCACTTTGCGCAGATATTCCGATGTGTTCTCGTTGTTGCCAGTGCCTGGGTCCAAGTGAAGCTTGTACGTAGGCCCGAAATACTCGAAGTAGTCGTTGTAAGGCAATACATTTGCCACCTGAAGATAAATAATTAGAAATTCTGAAAAATTAATTAATAAATAAACTAAGAAAACTAACTTCTCTATCGAGAGCAATGGCCGTTTCGTAAGCCCAGCATCTTGCGACATTTCTTGGTGTGTAGCCGCCACCGCCAAGCATCATCAACGGAACATTGTAGTCGCGGAAGAAGCTGGCACAACTAAAACAAAAGATTAGAAATTTAAAAGTAAAACGTACGCTCCATGTCCTTTTAGCGTCAAGTTGAATGGCCCCAAACGATCACCGTGAAGAGAATCCGCTCCACATTGCAGTACAACAGCCGTTGGCTGATATTTCTCCATGACCTAAAATAAAAGTGTTACGTAAGCTGAAAATAACTAGATTTCAATTTTTTTACCACAAACCTTGGTCATGATTGGCTTGAAGATGCTCTGATAAGCTTCATCGGTGATCCCGTCTTTTAGGGGAACATTCAGCGAGTAATACCTAAGAAAAGATCCATAAAAGTGCAAAATACTTATTTTGATTAACACTTCTAGAAACCTACTTCCCCTTTCCGACTCCGACATCTTTCAATTCTCCTGTACCCGGGAAGAAGTCGCCATATTTGTGAAAAGACACCGTCATAACCCGATCCGTCGTGAAAAATGCTTCCTGAGCCAAAAGTTACAATTTTAAAAGTAAAATAGACCTCACCTCAACACCATCTCCGTGATGAACATCAATGTCAACATAGAGTACTCGTTTGTGGTACTTCAGCAGCTCCAAAATTCCCAGCACGATGTCGTTTGTGTAGCAGAAACCGCTAGCCTCGCTCTTTTTCGCGTGATGCAGACCGCCCATCCAATTGATTGCGATATCAGCCTAAATCCGTCAATATATTTATCAAAATAGCACATTTTTACATGTCTGATTTTTTCAACTTACCTTTTGTTTGTTTAGTTTTACAGCAGCCGCTAGGGATCCACCCGAAGAAAGTTGACAAAATTCGTAAAGGCCATCAAAGAGGGGACAATCCTCGCCAACATTGAACTAAAGAAAGATACATTGCAACTAATCAAAGCCTATCCGAACTTTTAGCATTTGTTTGTTGTAGAGTTTCAAATTGTCCGGCGATGCTGTCTTTAAGAAATTGATGTAGTCCTCGGAGTGAAATTTTGTCATCTCGTCAAAAGAAGCGGGAAACGGCCGGTAGACTTCGAGCTCTCTGTACAGTCCGTAATTCATGACCAGGTGGTGGGTCATCCGAATACGATGAGGCTTCATCACGTGTCCCTAAAGTTAAAACGCATACATCAGAGACGGGCAATTTTTCATCTTTGCATATTGTACAAATTCAGTTTTATTGTTTTTTATTTAGTCCAAAAGTCTTACCTGGCCATAATAATAGTTGCCGACATTCGAATCGTAGAAATAGGCAACACGGCGCTTTCCATGCTCCTTCACAGGCATCGCGATTCACTAAGAGTTTAATACAACTTGTCCAAACAAAAAAAATGAGATCAACGAATCACAATAACAAGAAATAAAACAAAAAAAACAATTTAACGCCGAGTTTCATCGTCGCTACTCGATGATGAAGAAGAATCACTGCTGATTTGCCCAATGTTGCTGACGGGTGCCAGCATATTTCTCGTAGGCTGTGGGGGAGAAGTGAACGAGACTCGAATATCACTACTTGTGCTCGTTCGTCGACTATCGAATGGTGAAGTGCCAACAGGTCTCGGTGTTGGCATGGCGGACCCCATTCCATTTCGTATTGTTCTTGGTGATTCTCCAAACCCAGCCGTTCGTGGACTCCAACTTCGCTGTGTTGTATATCCCGAAGCTAACGGAGAAACGGGCACCGTTCTTTGTCCTGCTCCTCTGCCAGTTGGTGTCGTTTGTGGCCTCATTCCAAGAGTTGGTCCAACTGGAGGCAATCCGGTAGTTCTCGGCGCTGATAAGTGTCCAATCTTCAACTCGACTTCTGTAGGGAATGGCCTCGATGCGTCGCCCTGCTGCCAATTCAATGGAGAAGCCACCGAGAAACCCTTCGAAATCTGATGGGCCATTTGAATGACTTGTTCGGTGTTCACTGGTTGTTCCTCTGCAGCTTTCATCGTCTTCAACCGCTCATTTGCTTGGAATATCATGTGCATCAATAACGAATCCGCGCACTTCAGATCGGCCTCGACTTTTTGAATGATCATGTCCCTGTTCTCCACGCATTTCTCGAGTTCTTCAATCAAGGCGGCTCGTTTCTGATAGGCACTCACTTTGTCCAGCAATTTCTTGATCTCAGCCTGTTTCGTTTCAAAGAGTTGGGCGAGATGGCTGATCGATTCCTCGTTGTGCGTTTTCTTCTCGTGATCCAACAGATATTCGAGCATCTGTTTCGTGATGACATCAAGATCGTCGCTGGCATCCAGCAGGCTCTCTCGTAGCGTCGGCAACACCATCTAAAAATAATTATTGACGTAAAATAGATAAGAAAACAAAACGAAAAAGAAAGCGGTACTATTGGAGCTTTGGGGGGAGGCACTTTTTTTTCGCCAAAACCACTTTTCTCGTGGTAATTGAGTACGCTGAACATGGATATGACATTTTTAGGGTTGCTTTTTAATCAAAAACAAAATTTTTACAATTTTTAAAATTTTGCAAAAATAAGAAATTTTGAGCATGAATCTTGGTGAATCCGGCGAACGGATTGCATACTCAAAATGTGGAATCTCTTTGGTATCGATTTAAAAAATAATTAAGCAATATCATGACCTCAACTGCGAATCAAATGATCAAATTTCCTTCAGGAATTTATGTGGCGGCGAGGATTTAAAAAATAATTTTTGGAACCAAGTTTCAAGTCAAGTTTATAAATGCGAGTGGTGATTTTGGACCAGATTATTAGCTTTTTGTGACGCTTTAATGGAATCTTTTTGCAATTTGCAATTGTTGTTAATTTGTTAGATTTAGATAAAAGTCAAACAAAAAGCGCACAACCACAGCAAAGTGAGTCCGAAAGTCAAAATTGGCATTTAAAATGCTCAAAATTCCTTATTTTTGCAAAATTTTAAAAACTCTAAAAATTGCGTTTTTATTAAAAATCTACCCTAAAAATGTTATATTCGTGTTCAGCATACTCAATTACCCCGGGAAAAGTGGTTTTGGGGAAAAAAAAAAGTGGCCCCCCATAGCCAAAACTACCAAGAAAGCAATAACAAATTTAAAGTTTATGGGTAAAATTTAGTGCTTCAATAGCAGTTCTGGATAGGTAGGTTTAACACTTTAGACCCCTTAAAGTTGCATTTGCTGAAAAGACAAGTATGGAAAGTCCATAAATGAGGCAATTCCTCTCAATTTTAAAAGGTTAAACAAAATTTGAAAATATTCAAATAATTAACTGAATAGCATAACTTTTATAAAAGATAAAAAATTGAAACTATATAAAGCAATTTATATTGCTTCAGCAAAGTGGGCAGACCACAGTTGTTTGTTGTCGGGCAAGTGTCCAATTAGAGTACGAAGCAGAGTGTTCTCTGGGATTGTCGCGTAGCCCTTTTTTGACGGGAAGACTCCCCCTCGTTGCTCTATCCCCCACTTTTTTCCCTCTTTGCACATGATTCTTTTCGTTGCTTCGAGAAAATTCGTAGCGTCATTGTTTATGAATTGCACAGTGATTCATTAGAGAATTCATTGTTTTGAGAAACTTATTACACTTGAAGAAGCGATTGGTCATTTGAACGATAATTTCTGCCAACGCTCATGCTGCTAGCTTAAAGGCAATTAACGCTTTTTCCCTTACACATTTGTTTGATTGCTAAGAACCATTAGAACAGTGGCTAAATTCTTTAAATTTTGTTTTCTTTTGCTTCATTGCTTGTGTAGCTTTTCAAATTTTATTACTTTTTATTTCCAGGTACAACATGGCGACATTGATTCCATATCTATCGAAGAGGGGCGTTCGTCATGTTCACTATCTACAATTTCGACCGCCGTGGCCATTTGTGAAGAAAGGATCGTATGGACAACGAAAAATGGGACCAGTGAACGAGGAAAAGAAGAAGTGGCCTGGGCAGGACAAGGAATTTCCCGAACTTTCGCCGAAATTTCAACAAATCAACCCAAAGGAGCTTCACGCGTACACCGGCGTTCAAATGGAGGGCTACATCGATCCGAACACTGACAAATTTGTGAGAATCCCCGAAATGTGTGCCGAGCTGATTGTACCGAATTTGGAAGGATTCAAGCTGAAGCCCTATGTTTCGTACAGGACAGATGTAGAAATCGAGAAGCGAAGGAAAACGTATGAGGCGAAGATCCGAGAGAAAGGTAGTGAGGAGCTCGCTGATTTGCACACATTGGAAACCGAACGGTGGCCGCCACCAAAGATGACCGCGCAAACACTTTTTGATCTCACGTATGGAGAGGAAATTCGACAAACTTTCAAGAATAAAACGACAACGAAAAAGAGTTGATCTCAGCTTGTACATTTATTATTCTTTTCTTTAGCTAGTGTATTTAGTTTCATTTTTCTTGTTGAGTCTTACTGTTGATTTTTGATGATATAAATTTTTAGATGGCGGCGCCAGGATCATTAAAGATGAAGATCAATCTTCGAGCATTGGAATCATCGCCGACAAATGCGATTTCAATTTTGGAGGACGATTACAAAGAATCAGGTAACTTTAAACTTTGATTTACCTAGAAATTTCATATGCTTCTGGCTTACAGTTGTTTTTTAGAAGAACCCGATGAACGTGGCAACAATCAGCCAGCGGAGACGAAGATCGAATTGCCGGGCGAGGATCAACCGAGCCCCGATCAAGAAGCCAGCACTTCATACGACAATGAAGCAGAGAAGGTAACAAGAGTAAGTTAGAAAAAATGCTAGAGAATTTTTTTTTTTTTTTACTAATTTAGACATCAATATTTCCATTTAAAAATACGGTCAAAAAACTCAGGATGATGCTGATGAATCGAAAGCAGAAGCCGTAAAATCAGCTGACACCGCTGCTCCCCAACTACTGAGTATTTCCTTGAAAACTCATAAAGATAATGCAAGGAAAAGGAAAAGAATTGGGTAAGAAAATAAAACAGAAAAATTTAGGCTCAACTTTTTTCGAGGCTAGTTGAAAAGCAAGACTTAAAGAAATTTTGTGATAAGAAAGCTTGATTAAATTTAGACAAAACAGTATAATTTTTAGACGCTAAATCAATTATTGAGAGAATTTCAGTAATCTTGAAGAGATGGAGGCCATGCTGTCCAATGATTTTCGAACAGCACAAGAACGGGAAAAGGAACGTTTGGAGAGACAATCAAAACGACAAAATGAAATGGACTACATCACTCAAATGGCCTTGTTGGTTTCTTCCGAATCACTCCCGTTGATTCAAACAATTGTGAGATTGAAATTTTGAGTATTTTAAGAACAATATAGACTTTGAACAGAGTTAGAAACATGATATTTAGGCCGATGAAGACTTTTTCGATGAACCGGAACAGTCCGAAGAGAAGAAGTTAAAAATGGAGCCATCAGAGCATGAGGTAGAGTTATTTAATCTATTATTTACTAATTATTTAAGTATTTAGTTAACGAAAGTTGAAGAAAAAGACTATTTAGATTGTCACTTTGAGCAGCGATGATGAGGATGATATAGTGGAATTGGGAGAGAGAATTGCACAACGACCACCAGCAATCGGTCAGGCATACACGAGTTATGGAAGGCCGATCTCATTGAGTGGGTTATTCATTAGATTATCAAAAGAATGTTAACATGGGATAAAGTGATATTATCACATAACAGTCTTTAAGCAGAATTAGCGTAATCTTAGCAATTTGCATACGAACTTGTTAGCACTGTACTTTTTAGTGATAAATACGGACCTCGCGCATTTTAAAGCTATTAAGTATGGTTTTAATCTGCGAATTGAACGTGGACAGTCTTTCATGAAGAAATTAAACAAACAACTTTCCACACAAATCCTGTTTTAGGTAATCGCGGTCGATGGGGCTCTCATCATGAAGAAGTGAGTTTTGAAGCTTTTGAGAGAATTTGATACTCGAAAAATAAAGCAAACCGGTAGATTCGAAACTCTTTTAGGTAGCTCAACAAAATCTTCGACAACAACGAGAATTCGAAAAGAAACGTTTACGCAAACGGAGAAACAGTGGCGATTTGGAGAGCAAAGAGCTAACGGAGGGGAAGCTTTTGATCAACTCAGGAAGGCCTGATGGTAGGTTAAGAATGGATATTTTTTGAGATATTTCATAAAAAGGGAGAAAACGTGGCTTTTGATATTTGTAAAAATGAATTTCATGGTGAATTCTAGGCGATCCCCCGCTCTATGTAGCTCCTCATCTCACTCACACTCTTCAACCCCATCAACTCGCTGGAATTCGTTTCATGTTTGTTTTGAGAAAAGTTTTGAAAACTTGAAATCTTCCCTCTAGCTCTATTTATCTTCATTTACAGGTTTGATAACGTAATCGATTCGGTCTCCGAGTTCAAAAAGTCTGACGGTTTTGGATGTATTCTTGCTCATTCAATGGGATTGGGGAAAACGATTCAAGTAAGCGATAAAAACAAGCATTTACTGTATATTTAGTGTATTCTTATAACTATTTTTATTTACAGGTAATCACTTTCTCCGAGCTCTTCTTTCGTGCCACCGAAACACGGAAAATCTTGGTAGTCGTGCCGATAAATACCATTCAAAATTGGTACGCCGAGTATCAGAAGTGGATGCCAGAGTGAGTTTTTGATCTTTTAAGGCAAAAACCTTCAGTAATGTACTTGAATTTGCAGTTTACAGTTTACCAACGAGTTACAGATATAATGAGGATGGAGAACCGATCCGAAAATTCCAAGTGTTCCTTCTCGGCGATGCGATCAAAGGAATTGAACAAAGGACAAAAATGATAGGTCGGTCGCGTCCAAAAATTAGAATAATTATCAGTAACTTATCAATAATTTAAATAGCTTGAACATTCAATAAAGAGAACTCTTGCTTTTTAGAAGATTGGCATCGAGATGGTGGTGTGCTTCTCATCGGATACGAAATGTTCCGACTCATTCTCAATTCGACAAAACCCAAAAAGGAGAAAAAGGTTTAAAATTTAGTTGCTCTTAAAAAGAACTTGTTTGCAGAGCAAAATGAAGTTAAACTCATCGACTTCAAGTCTACAAAGCGTGAAAGAGAGCCAAGATGATGAAACGAAAGAGAATTTGGGAGATGATGGGAAAACAGCTGGCCCACTAAATGAAGGTGAGAAGTTAACTGTGTTTTGTTTATACCACATTATTTGTGTGAATGTATTTTTGTATTTTTTTAAAACGGTTACTCTTTCAGCTATCCGAACGGCTCTTCTCGATCCAGGACCCGATCTCGTTGTTTGCGATGAAGGACATAAAATCAAAAACCTGAACACGGTCACTGCTTCGGCGTTGAATGAGATCAGGACAAAGTTTTTGCTTCCATTCTCACCTAAAACCAAATTCCAATTCAGACGCCGAATCGTGCTCACTGGGACCCCATTACAAAACAATTTGATCGAGTACTTTTGCATGGTGGATTTTGTGAGACCCGCGTATTTGGGCACAAAGAAAAGCTTCATTCAAATGTTTGAGAAACCGATTAAAGTGAGTAAATGATTGTAATTGATAAAGTGACGTAATTTAGAACGGTCAATGCACTGATTCAACTCCAGCCGATCAAAAATTAGCTCGTCAAAGAACTCACGTGCTCACCGAGAGTCTCCGGGGATTTGTGCAGAGGTGAGAGAAGTTGTCAAAGACAAATTTGTAAAAAAAATTGATTTGGGAGAGGAAGATAAAGAGGTTTTTACGCTGAAATTTCAGGAGAACGCACTCATTGCTGAAGGAGATCCTCCCCGAGTGCAGAGAGTACGTGCTGTACTTGCGAAAAAGCCCCATTCAACATGCTCTCTACAAGTGAGTTAGATAAGAATCTTTTGACTATCGAGTAGCTTATTGATTTATAGATTAGTTACATGGAAATTTCCAGAGCTTTCATCCTTTACGCGCAGCAAGAGATCGATACGGGAAACACTGGCACTTTCAATCCGCTGAAAGCTTTTGCCGCCTGTAGCAAGGTTTGTTTTGTGGATTGGCTTACTAATTGCTTTTGATGTTTGATGATATCAAAATCTAATAATATAATAAAAATTCAGATCTGGAATCACCCGGATGTCCTCTACTCCTGGCTGCAGCGACGAAAAGAACTCGATGCTAAAGTTGAAGCTGATAAAAAGTTGGTCTAACGACTTCAAGTCAAGTGAAAAACTCACTGATTTGTTTCTAAGTTTACCCATAAATTCGCCAAATCTCAGAGCCGAACTCGATGCCATTCAAAAAAAGAAACAACAAAAGTTGATCACTCAATGGATGCATCCACCAAATGATTTCACCAATACACAAACGTTTGGGAATCAATTTGGACAAAGTAAGGATAAATCGGCGAATACGCTCTGGCAATCTATTGCCAGATTGGCAATCGCGAATCTGGCAATCGATTTTTCGTTAATTAATTGAGACAAAAGCAGCGAATAATTCAGCGGTGCCAAGAGGATCTTTCCCTTTCACCTCTTACCTTTCGATTTTTATTTTTTCGTTTACTCAAAACATTTGGTAAAGAAACAGGATCCAAAGGAAATGGAACTCCACACCTTCTGCTTCACGGGCAGAGACTCTACCACTGAGCCACAGGCGCTTGTTATGCAGGTTATATAGGGTAGAAGAAAAGAGGAAATGAAAGAGTATGCACTGTCTTCAAATTCCAAAAAATGACCGTATTCGCCAAAAAACTCTAAACTCAAAGAAAACTCCAAAAAGCTTAATTTTAGAGTTAGCTTTAAGTATTCTGTGTTTAGATTTCAATCCTCAACCCCCTCCTTACGACTTCTCAAATCAATCTGCTTATCCGGGATCTTCATCAAGTTTCATGAACCCAAGCCCACCCACCACAATGCATCAAATGCCCGGTTTCCCGCAACAATCGATGAATGACTTTGGAGGAGGATATCGGCAATTTATGAATATGCCGACAACTACTTGTGAGTGCTAATAAATACTTTTTGAGCTCGAGCATTGTCGATTTAGCTGGCTACGCCTCACCGATGGCTCCATCGAGTATCACAAGTGTCACCTTCCCGATCTCAATGCCCCAAAGTTCTCCATTTGATTCGATCGGTCCCCCATCAATCCAATCAACCTCTTCCGCAAGCAATTACGGTAAATTTTCAATTAAGCTTAAAATCTAAACCTTTCAGGTTATTCCCAAGAAATTCCACCAAACTCTGTTAACTCTCGAATGGCTGAACCACAACTTCCAAACATAGACGAGCTTGATCAAATCTGGGCAAATATGGGCACATCAAGGGATGATTTTAATCAAAACTCAGTGTAAGTCAGAAAAAAAATCATGAAATTTTTCTATTTTGCTAGAAAATTTGATATTAATTCTAATCCATTTAGGCCTCCAATCGAGCAGCAACTCGCCTCAAGTGTGAATCTCTCACCTGGAAATGTGGCTGGACAAATGCCTGCAAAAGCTTCAGAGGTACCTAAAGCTTTATTTTTTAGATTTAAATGCAATTTTTTTTAAAATCTAAAACTTTAGAAAAAGACTCGAGGTGGTCGAGGTGGTGGAAAGCCGCAAACTCTTTTGTCCGCTTTGCAAGAAGAGCTGGATATGGATGTTGGACTGAAATATGATTGGGTACGTAAATCTTTTGACTTGAATGCTTACTTTGTTCCAACGTTACTTTAACAATTCCAGGCAGAGATCGCAATGTCGCGCTATGAGAGAGGGACGTTGGACAATGGCTATAAACTGGTTGTTGCAATGGGATTGATCAATGAGGCGACGAAGAGAGATGAGAAGATCTTGTTGTTTAGGTAATCTTGTTCTTGTTCTTGATCTTTGGAATAGATTTAGCTATTACTAGGTACCTTATACAGCGATTTCCAACAATTTCCTTAAATTCCAGTCAAAACCTCACCACTTTGGATGTTCTCGAGGATTATCTCTCGAAATCGAAAGTGCAGACATCGGATGGATTGAACGATTCGTGGCAAAGAAATGTCAACTATTTTCGTGGGATTCACATTAACATAAAGCAATCAATATATTCCAGGCTTTGATGGCACAACAGCTGGTGTTGAACGCGAGAAGTTGATCACTAGATTCAACGGCGATCCAGCTATTCGGCTATTCATCATCTCTACGAGAGCTGGCTCTTTGGGAATCAACTTGGTGAGTTAGAAATTAATATAAAACTAAAGAGTATTTCAAAGCCTTCAACGGTACAAGATATTAAGGATTATAGTAAGAATGCTTAAACAATTGCAAAATTATTTAATCCCTAGGTCTCCGCAAATCGGTGTATCATTTTTGATGCTTGCTGGAATCCGTGCCACGACGCGCAAGCTGTTTGCCGGTGAGTTTACATTTTGAGTTCTTCTATCAAGCTTTGGTAACTACCGTAAATACTAGAAGCTCCCTAATAGAAGCATCGCGTAGTGTAAGCTTACTCTCAAACAAACGCTCATATCTCGACATCAGTACGTTTGTTTCTGCGCAAAAATTTCAGTTGAAAAATCTTTTTATTGAACACCCTATAAACTTTTAAATATATTCTCATATTTGTAATATTTAGTGTCTATCGATACGGTCAAAAGCGTCGCACCTACATCTATCGTCTCGTCATGGACAACAGCATGGAGCGAGCGATTTTCAATCGACAAATCTCGAAAAGTGGACTAGCTCGTGAGTATAATAGGAATGTAGTCAATCCTCAAAAGCTAATGAATCCAATGAAAGTCAAGTTTAAATGTCAACTCTTTCAGAAAGAGTCGTTGATGATGTGCAAGTGGATTCGAATTTGACACAAAAGGAACTCGAGACATTGCTTGTTTATGAGGTTGGTGAAATCGAGAAGTTTTTGGTGAATACGGTTCAGAAAAACGGGTTTTTGATTGTTAACTGAGGAACCATGATGAGAAAGACTTTTTGTATAGGATTTGGAAAAAGCAATTTATGAACTTCTTCTTCCTTTCTTCTTTTTGCTTTTTCATTTTTCTATTTGCTTTTTGCAGCAAAATAATTGGCTTTTTGAATGAAACAAACCGTAGTTACATTGGTGTATTTGTTAGTTTTAAACGAAAGTACGAAAAGGAACGAAAAGTCTTTCTGGACAGAAAAGACTAATATTCATTGCTTTTTATGTTAAATAAAGCCTTTTAACCCCCAAAAAAATCAAATATAATATCCCAAGTTTAATTCAGGAGGCTTTGGATCTCCATGTCGATCATCAAAATGTTGCCGAATGGGAAATCGAAGATGAGGTGCTGAAAACGGTTGTCGATCAGAACACCATTGCTTTTGCTGGGGTGAGTTGATTCGTAATTTTCGACTTTCGAGAATTTTGAAGAAGTCTTTTCAATTCGATTATCAAGATCTTTTAGAAACCAATCCTTCACGAGTCGTTGATGTTGGAGAGTGAGGAGAAGTTGAGCGAAGAGGAGAAACGAGAAGCTCAGCTATTGTTCGAGAAAGAGAAAAATCGGGTCAGTGCACTTAAATAGTTTGAAATTTACTTAAAATTGATTAAAATATTTATCTAATATTGTGTAATATTGTCACATGCTTCAGTTTCCCGGAATCCCCAATGAGGAGAACTTGGCTCCATTGGAGGCACAAGTCCTCAAGCAACTAATAAATGTATTTGAGTTGAACTATAGCTTTCTTTGCTTCATTTAGCTGTAAAATTTAATCTTTAGTAATATTCTTTTAGGAAACTACATCCGATTACTTTGCGAATGATTATCGAATGAATCAAATGCCGCCAATGGGAATGGGAGGAGCAATGGGATACTCGTGAGTTTTGAGTGATGATTATTAGAGATTTAAGTTCAAATCTACTGAAGAACCATTCTGTTACAATTCTTGACTCAAAATTTTATTTAGTAGCAATTTCAATGGAATGGATCCCCTTCGATCGGCTCCACTCCCTCAAAACGTTCGCTTCAACTACATGCGACAAGGCATTGGAGGAGCGACGATGGCTTCTTTGCGTGAGTTCACTATAGCACCTTGAATTTTTATCGACTACAATTCACTGCTTACAAATTCTAGAGCTAAAATGTGTCTCAGTCTCTTTGTTCTAGTACAGTACACCAAAAGAATTCCGGCTGAATATCTTCCAATCTCCTTGTGCGAAAGATAAGCGCTAAACCCTGAAATGAGATGAGCTAACTTTCTGAGCTTTACTGTAACTAGTTGTAAGCTTTTAAGACTTTTATTGGGATACTGTAGAGCGATGAACTACAGTAGATTTAAGTGAAAGCATAACGATTGTCCTCTCGTCCGTTCATTTAGTCCATTCAGTTTGTTTCCTTTTGTTTTTTCAGCTTCACCATCGTATTTATCGCTGCAAAAGCCCTATCAAAGGCCTTACGGAACGATGAGAAACGAGAATTTCCCCGTTTATTACAATCAAGGAAATAGTAAGAGCGATGGCTTGATTTTCTAATGCTTTTAAGAAAAAAAAACTATACGATTTTCACAACTTTTCGATATTCAGGCAACGATGCGGGCTCGTCACGTTTCAATCCGAGTCTTCAATCGATGAACCCATTCTCACAGCCGCATAGGAGAGATGTTCGTGAAAATTTCATTATTTATTATTAGATCTAGAGCTTGAATTCAATTTTCCAAATAAATCGACCCGTTTTAGCTCATGAATCGTCTCGAGTTGCTGAGAGCTGCTAAAAAGATTGGTGAACCTGAGATCAAAGACGATGACAAGGCTATTTTACAAAGAATAATCCTTGAGCAAGGTTTAAAAGAAAGCAAACAAAATACAAAAAAAAATATTTAGATATGAGACTCCGAATTTGTCAACTTGATGATCAATACGATGATCTCCCGCGGGGAACCGAGCTGACTCTTGTTCTCAACCCGGCTGGAACCTTTGCCAAAGATACACGCACAACAGATGGAAAAGTGTACAATTGCAGGAATACGGCGCTGGATCTAGGTGAGCTGAAAGTTTAGAGCAAAAAAATCCCTTTAGTAGATCAATCTTAAGAATGCTACAAGATTTTAAAGCTAGCTAGGCAAAGGCCTGTAACCTTTTCTGATCGATATTAGCTTCAAAGATCGATCTAGAAAGAAACTTTTAAAGTCTAGTATCGTATTTAAAACCTTTTAAACCTTTTCTTTTCTAAAACCTTTTAAACGAATCCTAATCTCAGGTTTCTACCGTGAACCCCCAAACAGTCAAATGATGCCGATGAGAGGCCCATCCGTCAATCTTCCCTCATCAAATGGATACAATATCCAAGCACCGAGAACTCACGATCAACCATTGAGATTCTTCAATCCCTTGAAGGGAAAATTGCTACAACCGGGTAACGAAATTTCCCATGCAGTCGACTCTCGATATAACGATTCGCTCGGCATCGCCGCTTAAAATCGTTATAACGAAACAAATAAATCAAGGTTTTACAATCAAATCGTTATTTCAAGTTATTCTAACGTATTTGTCAACAAAAAAAAGTAGTAAATAACAAGCGATTAAGAAACAATTAAAACTTATTGAAAAAAATCTGTTAACGAGGTTTGTCTATTAGTAAAGAAATTGTAATAAATCATCAATAACCGTAAAAGCTTTAACAATTTTTGAGTCGGCCTTCGGTTTCGCTTAGGAGCATTTGAAAACAACGGTATGCTTCTTTGCGAGAAACTGACGTGATTTCGGTCACTCTTTCGTCCTCATCTTCTGATGATAAAAATTAGAAAAAGTTAGTCAAAAAGAACTCGTGTTTTCAAAAGTAGAATTACTTTGAATTATGAAGGTTAAGATATTCAATGGAAGAAAGGAATATTTACATTTTGAGCTAAAAAACGCTATATCGAATGCAAATTTCATTTCGTTAATCGAGAGTCGACTTTACTTCAACTTATTGTTTCTTTCAGAGTACTGAATCGAAAACGGTTCCATGTAACATTTTTTTTGCTTAATGGGTGCAGGGTGCGCCAAAAGTGCGCCAAAAGGGTGCGCCAAAAGTTCCCGTGCATGTATTTTCTGCATTTTTGATGATTTTAGATAAAAGATACGATTTTAAAAGTAAGACATTCGAATTCCTCGCTCGAAAAACTGATTTAGAAAACGTTTCTGGTTAATTTATAAGTGCAACACTATTTAAGACAAGTGATTGAGAAGAGGGCCCAGGGGCGCTTTTGGTCGCACAGTTACAGTTATTTCCTTTGATGAAAATTTGTATAGGAAAACCAAGTTCTAACCTGACTTCCGACTCGGTCGTTGACCATAACTTTATACACCCAATATAAATGATGTCACATTTTATGTCTAGTTTTCGAAAAACATCTTGGCTCTTGAAAATCTTTTGATTCATAAAAGTTACAGGCCTGAAGCCCCAAAAAATGTGCGACCAAAGCGCCCCTGTGCGACCAAAGCGCCCCTGTGCGACCAAAGCGCCCCTGTGCGACCAAAGCCCCTGGGCGGACCCTCTTCTCAATCACTTGTCTTAAATAGTGTTGCACTTATAAATTAACCAGAAACGTTTTCTAAATCAGTTTTTCGCGCGAGGAATTCGAATTTCTTCCTTTTAAAATCGTATCTTTTCTCTAACATCACCAAAAATACAGAAAATACATGTACGGGAACTTTTGGCGCACCCTGTATGTGCTTAGGTGTTCAAGAACGAGGCAAAGGCTCAGTTCGGGCAATTCTTGAACACTAAATACCCTAAAACTGCAATCAAACACAAATTCTATCTTTCAGCAAACTTCGTTGGCATGCCGCAGTTGCAAATAAATTCACTCTCCTCAAATAGCGGCTCGATGGATGAATGCATTGAGCTTGATTGAACACTTTTATTCACTTAAATCCTATTTTTTTTTGTTGGCTGAATTCCCCTTTGATCTCGTCGACTTGTAGAAAAAGTTTTACCGTTGATAGTCATTTTTGAAAGCTTTTTGAATTTAATTTTCACGGAGAAAGAGCTATAACATTGAAATACCTTTACACTTCGACTTATTTACTGAAAAAGCAACCCTACTTTGTATACTTACATAGAAACTTACCCTTTCCAGTCCACGAACCACAATACACCAGCGCTAATGAGCAAAAAGTACACTTCAAAGAAATATTTTGAGTCAATGTGTTAGCTCTTTTACAAATTTTTTGATTTCTTTTTTTGATTTTTCATCGATTCCCTGTGATTTTCTTTTAATTATGGGCATTCTTTTTGGCCAAGATCGTGAAATTCACCCTTAACATGGACTAAAACTGTCAAATATCATTGTCTTTTCTTCTAATATCTATAGTAAACGAATGGTTAGCTTATATGAAATTCTTTTTTTGTTATTTAATACTTTGATACTTTGATACAATGTACATTTTTCTCTTATTATTTTCACAAAAAAATAGAAAAGTTATCAACAAATTTAGTTATCAACTTGCTTTAAATCTATTTTTTGTTTATTTTCAAAACTCTTTAATCTCAAAATTCAGGTTTTATTTGAGTTTTTTCTTTTAAAATTTTTGAATTTACTGGTTCTTCGTGATAAATGATAAATGCTTTTTTTTTCGTTTTAATTGATAAAGATTACTGTTAGATTATAGGCTGTAAATGAAGATAGGGAAAAGATTTAAGAAAAAGAAATAGAATAGAACCTTGTGTTGGGTGGAAAATGGTTCTTTAGTAGAGAAGTACTGTGATTTTAACGTAATCAAAAAATCACCTAATATCAGAAATATATATATGCTTTATTCAGTTGAATAGCGACAAAACAAAATCACAATAATCACCCGCGACACCACTCACACCCAAAAGACACACCCAAAAGATAAATGGATACCCAAGAAAGACACAGAGCAGTCAAACAATGCCGAAATTGCGGCTAAACTAGCCAAGGGGAAATATCACGAACAAGGGTGCCAGAATTTAATAACTCGATTAAAAAAGAAACTGTGGGGGCTTTTAGAGGAAAAAAATAAATGATAAATGATAAATGCTTTTTTTGTTTTAATTGATAAAGATTACTGTTAGATTATAGGCGAAATGAGATAGGGAAGATTAAGAAAAGACCTTGTGTTTGGTGGAAAATGGTTCTTTGGGGAGAAGTACTGTGATTTTAACGTATTATACGTACCTAGGTATAAACGGATGTGGACTAGAATTTGGGTTAAGTTAAAAAGAGTGGATCCCTTTTTGATACCCCGCCATCTCTAACACCTCGACAACCCAACTCAACTCCTCCAACGTATTAGAGGGGAGTCCCTGTGAAATGACCGACCTGTACTGCAGTTGCATAGACCCGGAAGATATGTATCTTTATTTACAGTAATACAATATGATGAATAGATTAGAAATGAGTGTAAGGGGAAGGGGGGACTCCAAAATGAGAGTCTCATTTGTCCTCCTAGGCTGTCCCAGTCTCATTTGTCCTCCTAGGTAGTCCCAGTCTCATTTGTCCTCCTAGGCAATCCCAGTCTCATTTGTCCTCCTAGGCAGTCCCAGTCTCATTTGTCCTCCTAGGCAATCCCAGTCTCATTTGTCCTCCTAGGCAGTCCCAGTCTCATTTGTCCTCCTAGGCAGTCACCGCCCCTTCTCGGCAATAAACGGGATAAACACAGGGGAGGACACATTTGCATAAAAATAGACAAATCATTCAATAATAACAATAGTAACTAAAATATCAGTTTGGCTCGGAGCTGACAGTATTTAAAAAATCCCCTAACGTCAGAAAGAGCTTGTTTACACTATTGAGTATTAAGAACATCTTGAAAAAAGAAAACTAACATTTTTCTTGTTTTCTTGTTGAAAAGCTTACCAATCTCTCGAAAATACAAACATTTTCCCGAAAAAGAAAACAAAATTTCTTTCCAAATGATTCATTGCCACTTCAAAATGTTTTTTTTAATATATTTTATTACTGAAATCTGATTGATTTCATGGAAAATTTAACTAGAATCCCATAAAATCGATGTATTTCCGTATCGCACAATGATCTTTTGAGTGATTTCATGGAAAAAGAAGAAAGCACGTATTTTTGGCGGGTTTCAACTTGTTTCCCGCACAGCTATCACACGTCTTTTCAAGGGCCTATAAAAATGAAAGCAAAGCAAAAGAACTGCCATTCACCCTGTCTTCTAGTCTAGTCTTTGTTCTTTTCTTTCGATCACTTTTTTTTTCCAATTCTTTCTTTCTTTTTCATCTTTATTTTGATCAGAAAATCTTTCTTTCCAAAAATTTTTGAATTTCACACATTTTCCGATGAATCAATTTGCTGAAAGATCAGCTGAAAGATCAGCTGAAAGATCAGCTGAAAGATCAGCCTTTTCCCTTCAGAAATCTCAAGATGATTCATTGCCACTAAAGAATTTAGCAATTCTTGAAAGCCAATCTCTTTTCTTTGCTTTCATGAACTTTTTCTTTCTTTTCTTCGGTCGCGTCCGTTTCCTTCCTATTTGCGTTGCTATTTTGCAATTATTCGCGTCGCATTTTTCGTCCTTTTTCTCCCTTCCCGAAATGATTTTTTTTGGTCTGCGGGCTTTTGCCTCCCCTCTCGGGGGATTTTGTTGTTTCATTTTTGATGCGCATGCTGTTTTTGTAATGGGTATTGTTGCATTTCGGTTCTGTACTAATAAACAGTAACGTTATAAATTCACTTTACTTTATGCTACCCTTCAGGTTTTAAATCCTGTTTAGATAACTGGTTTAACATTGTAGAGAGACTGGTTTTACTAACATTTGTGTCACCATCGACGTATCAATAGTATCAATCCGATCTGCACTCTTCTCAAGCGTATTAATCTATTGTTGGATACTACGTGTTCTTGTTACGTTATAAGCGCTTTTGGGGAAACCCGTTTAACCTTTTGTGCTATTCGGCCATTCTTAAGCAGAATCATCCTCGTTGATAAGGTTAAAGCGGGTCGCACCCCAAACTCCTTTCTTTTCTTCTTCTTTCTTTTCTTTTTCTTGAAGCTGCTTTTCCAATTCTCCTACTTTAACTTCAGCTTTCAGTTAAAAGAGATGACTCTTGCTGAACTCTTGGCTCCAACCTTGAAAGCAATGAGATGTGGAGATGGAGATGCGGGACTTGAGTCGTAAGTGAACACTTAAAGTTGATTTCCATAAAACCCTAAAGCATGAAGAACTAGAGCTGTTCATTTTCGCTTTGATCGTCAATAGATGTACACTTCAACAGCTACTTTTTTAAGGGTTTTTCAGACCAAAAGATAGAGCTTAGAAGGGAATGACATCAGCTCGAAGTTGAGAATCGCTTCGCGACCGAGTTCATCCTATAGAATCGGCCATGCTGATTCTGAATCTGTAAAAATTAGTTGCAAACACCCACGCAATCGCGAGAAATTCGATCAAACTTCGAACTCTTTATGGGGCCGTCACAAGGAGACTGTCAGATGGCTTCGGTGGTCTAGTAGATAGTGTGCTAGCCTGCTTTCAAACCTTTCAAACCTTTTTTTGGCTTGGGTTCGAATCTTCCCTTCGTCAATTCTTTTTCTGATGTCTTTGCATTAAATATTTATTCTTATGCACCTTTTACTACTTCTGACGATGTTCTAACAAAAATCTGCTTCATATTCATTTCATTCATTCATAAAACTTGCAATTCTCTAAATAGTTGTTAGAACATCGTCAAAAGTTGCAAAAGGGTGCATAAAAGATAAATATTTAATGCAAAGAAATCAGAAAAAGCAAAAAGAACTGACGAAGGGAGGATTCGAACTCAAGCTAAAAAGGTCTGGAGGGTTCCGTAAACTAGCACACTATCCACTAGACCATCGAAGCCATCTAGCAACCCATCTAGCAACCCCATAAAGAGTCCGAAATTTGATCGCATTTTCTATGCCAGATTTCTCGCGATTGCGTGGGTGTTTGCAGCTAATTTTTAGAGATTCAGAATCAGCATGGACGATTCTATAGGATGCACTCGGTCGCGAAGCGATTCTCAACTTCGAGCTGATGTCATTCCCTTGTTAGAAAATTGTAGCTTTGGCAAAAAAATTCTGAAAAGTATATTAAGTGATCAAATCTCGTTTTTCCGTTGATTTATTGAGAATTAAGACAGAAAATGAATAGCGTATGGAGAACTAAAAGAATATAAACTACAAAATATATCTTATTTTCAGTTTTCTCCGTTTCTACACAGAAAATGCTGTGATGGTTGATATTAGTAGAAGAAAAGTTCACACAGGACATCAAGGTTCGCTTTGCCAAACTCCCAAGCATTTTATTATTTAGAGCTTTTGGAGAAATTCGCTGAATTGGCGAAGAATTTCGATTGGATTCCGACGGTGGGATTTAAAAGAAATCAAAATTTACCGTATTTCTTCGAATAGAAGACCGAGTAAAGAGTATCATCGCGTACTCCTGCGTGGCAGCCCTTTTTAAAATTTCTTTTCTGCATAAAAGCTTCCAATGAAGTGCTATAGAGCTGGAAAATGACTCAAAAATACCACATGAGCTAACAGATTTTCGAGCCATTTTCCAGCTCTATAGCACTTCATTGGAAGCTTTTATGCAGAAAAGAAATTTTAAAAAGGGCTGCTACGCAGGAGTACGCGATGATACTCTTTACTCGGTCTTCTATTCGAAGAAATACGGTATCCAAAGCCCCGCCCCTTTTCCCATTAGCAATCTAACTTTAAGCTCAAATTTCTTGGTGTTGGGATGTTCAATTTATAAACTATTGGTATGATTAGATGCGCCAAGTCTTTCTCTGTCGATTGGTACAAAAAACTTTTTATATTCGATAGCCCAACACAAAGAAATTTGAGCTCAAAGTTGGATTGCCAATGGGAAAAGGGGCGGAGCGTGTATCAAATGTCCCACAAT